CCCATGATGTATCCTTGGAATGAAAAGATGTGTAATAATACGGTTATTACGAGGATACCTCAAAGTATGCACTCAGACAATACACCGTCGCATCGACTACGCTGCGCGTTGATCGATACACCCGATGTACTGTCTTTGTGCTTACTTTGAGGTATCCTCGTAATAATCTCTCATTATAGTATGATGTAGAACTCATATTGAACCAGGACTGGATAGTGTTCACTCTCACTATAATTAGTGAAGCAATTTATTTCTGCCTAAGTCTCCAGCACAAAACAGTACGTATGTGACAGAAATCATGATAATCTATTGTCATTGGGATAAGACTTGCGATCGGAACTTGTTAATTTAATGTTGTCAGGCGCTGGCTGGAGTCTCCCCACCATTATGTCATTAAAATGTTTTCTTCTCGATTTATGACAGTTTCGATTTTACTTGCGAGGTCCAATTTATTAGAATATATAGCTACCACTTGAATTAGTCAAAGAAACTAAATGTCTTCGTGGGAATAGCTGACGTGCCTGTCAATTTATCGTTTTACAATGGTCCTCATAGAAGCTTGCTTCTCTTTCAGACAAGACTCATCCTTGCCAGGTTGTTGCCACTGCCAATCATCTTCATAACCGTCTTCATCGGGTTTGACAACTTTCAAGGTTCTTCTGATAAGTATTTTTTTTTAGCAATCATTAAATGTTTTGTTTGCTTACTCAAAGCGAAAGGTATATTATTCAATTATTTAAATGTGCATAACTAAAGCGATGTATATATATATTTTATAGCGCATTGAATGTATGTATTCGGCTGTGAGTTGTGTTGTGGGTTATTCAACTACTGTTCGATGTATTAAAAAAAACGTGGTTCCGGGTGCATTGAATATAAGATTGAATGCTGTTTAAGCCTACTTTGATGACATTCGAATCGCACGGTAGATTGCATTTTAAACTCATCATCGTATTAATGTGGCGTAATGGAAATCGTGGTTATTATGGATTATTGACACGGAAGTATTCCAACATTTTGGATGAATTAAATTGAAAGTTTCAAGTAAAAACTAGGGATACCTTATCTCGTTTTTAAAGGGATGGGGGGAAAAACTTTTGGTTTTGTAGCATTGTCCTAGTCTAAACTTGAGTACATTCGTTATTCCGTTACAGTCAGCCATACGTAAGTGTGTGTGTGTTTATGACATGAATGCAGGATGAAAATTAATGGCTCGAGCACACAATGGTTCAATCTACGGATACATGCTGTATGTCGTCAGTCCTCGGGCTGCAAACGTCGCTCTGATGAACCTATCACAATTCAGCAGCTCAGCAACTCCAGGGGCCAGTTACGTCCCAAAGGAATTGTCGTCATATTAATTACTTTAGCAGAATGGTACATGGGTGGTTGCTATGGTTACCTTGACGCACATTTCGAAACAGATTGTACGCAGCAATTCACGTTATTTAATAATAACAAACAAGTAAATGAGTCATAGCTAGGAATGAACTTATCCCGGCTTCCCTTACTTCCGGAAAAACTGAAACGGGACATTAAATTGGGGCGTAAAACTAAACATATATAATAACACTGATTACGTGTAAAAACATATTTATAAAACATGCATCTCGGGGGAAAAATCATAATTTTTATCCAAAAAATATATGCTGCATTCATATCGGCACTGTGATATAGCTTAAAGCGGGGGAGTCGTCACCTGCGCATGCGTCATGGCAATAGCATGTCATTGTTTACAAACAAGCTTCTACCCATGAGCCTTTGCGTTTTTAGCATGTGTTGTTATCGTCGCTCGGGACTCAATTCCCGCGCGTGCGCAGGTGACGACCCTCCCGCTTTAAATATAAATCATCACAGTTGTCGCAGGTAGCACCTTCGTATAACTGTATATAAACAATAATTCCAAGTTACCGACACGTTGTAGACACCGTATGGATCACATCCATGACTCCATGTTGAATATGACACAGTACGACGATCATTGTGGTTCTGGTTAATGGCATTTTAACAGTAGACACATAAAGTAAAATTCACAGAAACCATATATGAATGTTTGTTAGAAATAGTGTACCGTTTTAGAACCATATTTTATTATCGGTTCCCATAGTGACGACCTCCTCACACCACGATGTGTATGTTAAAAACCATATATTGTTACTAACAGGTAAGAATATTTGGCTAAATTTTTTAATGATTTTCTCATATATTTAAATATTTATTAGATATTTTGTTTTTATGCAAATATTATGTGGTATTTTTTGAAATAGTTTAATATACATGTATTTATAATATCTGAACTATATCTGTTACATTAATTCTTTTTAAATCGTTTGTTTAGAATAGCATTTGACTATGTTCTATTCAAAATGGATAATGCAGGTCGTCTATTGAAAACGTTTGTTTCAAAATCATGGAAGAAATCATAAAAAATACGCACAAATGTGCATAATGTTGGAGCATATTTTTAGTTGGAAAAGGGCTTAGTGTCTGGGTCGTGAAACCGACAAAAATCTACTTGATTCACAATAAATTACAATAACACCAAATGTATCCAACCAAAACAAATATGCAAAGTTGTCCAATGGCGGGAAAAAAATATTCGGAATTATATTCGAAGGCAACAAATAAGTCACTGGACTGACCCCTTCCTAAACCGTTTCTAACACCTGGCATTATCTCTTATGGCAGATTTGGAGTACATTCTAGTGACTGTACATGTATCTTTGAAATTTAAATATCACGAGAGTTTCAAAATGTTCGTAAGTTCTGGTAGGTGAGGCTCCATTTTTTTAGCCCCTCCATAAAATATTTATTTTTATTTTTGTTTGTATATGTCGATGTTTTAATTTATTTGTCGTTAATCAGTTCTTAGAATCAAATAAAATCAAATAAAACCAAAAAATCGACAAAATTACAAATGACTATTATATAAAGGGTCAAAAAATGGAGCCTCGTACCTAGATCGGATTTTAATCAGATTGCCGCCACCCCCCACCCCCCCCCCCCGAGACACCTGAAATAAATTTGACTAGATCAACGTGTAAACAAACGGAGTAATTCACACACGTCGTATACATCGCAGGGAACTCACGTCGAACACCACGCGATGTGAAGACCGTAGCACCTTAACCGTATAATAATCTCACGTGTTAACCCACATTCTATGAAAAATCTAATGTTCATTACAGTATAAATAAGTTTGCCTTTGTAATGCCTGCATGACTGGAGGTGACCAATCGGTTTACTTTCCCTCGTAGGTCAGTAGTATAAATATTACTATCAGATTATCGTTATATTAATTAAGTTTGCGATCCAGATTCCACTGCATTTAATAACTGACATTAAGTGATGTTGACGTTACATCTAGGTGACATTAAGGTGTCCGATTATGACTCCATACTGCCCTAGTTTTTTGTCATATTATGACAACTTCTGAATATATGTATTTCTTCGGTAATTTAATGAATGCGGGATCGATAATCGGAGACTAGCCTTGCATTGCTTACCAGTGTATGGAAACGAAACTGTTCCCTCAGTAATATTAGAAATCAGGCTCTTCTGGTGACCCAGCGAGCGCTTTCCGGTGACCTTTTCCCTTGTCACGTGGATCCAAGAAGCAATTAATGAATGTCGCATTATATTTTATCGAAACTACTGACGTGGATAAGATTTTTTTTTTTTTTTTTTTGCATAATTATATTTAGTCATTCATAAAGGAAAAAAAGTGTTCACGTCTTTATAACAGATTAAGCAAACCTCATTGAGGCAGTGTAGTCGTCGACAATTCTATAAATCAATCCGAACAATCCGAACAATTACCGTAGCTAATCCCTGTGATCCCGATCTCTACTAATCGCGAGGGCGAATAGAGGTCGTAGTGAGAAAAAAAACATTTTGCATAAAAGCCTACTTAATGTTTCATTTATAACCTCGCTGCTCCGTATCTTCACAATATCAGGATTAATTTGTACGCTGCTAAGAGTTGACGCCAAGATCGGTATAGATTTCTACAACGGTAATCATTAAATAAATGGGAATTTCTGCGTTCCTGACAAGAAGATAATTGCTTCCATACTCCATTCGGGTTCACGTATTAGTATTCGAAGTACAATAACTAATCTTATAATACAGCGTGATAGCAGTCAATCTTTGATTATTTTTATCCAATTATACTGTTATATTTTGTGGAACTGAACACCTTTACAGTAAAGAAGCTAAAATGTATACGACAAGATACATGTAAATTATCGAGAGAGCCAACACCCCCCTCCTCCCACCAAAGTAAGACTATAGAGGGCGATAGTAAGAACATATTCACACAAAACAAAATTATCAGACCGTTTACCAGTATTTTGACGTTAAATTTTGATTGCGTTGTGTATAAGTGTTATGTGTGACATTCTTTTTTAAATACGATTGTTAAATATTGCAAATTATTTTGCATAATTATTTGAGCGTACCTGAATATAATATCGCTTCAGATAAAACAAACATTTAATACACCTTACCAATAAAGCGCACCCTCTAGCAACAGAGCGTTATTGTGACGTCAAAATGTCGCACCTGTAACCTATGCCTTTCCAAATAGACGTTGGTCGTTATTCAGAATATAGTAAATCTCTAATATCAGTATTTTTTATTGACCACAGATAAAATATTATTGATGTTATGAACGAGCGTCACGTCCACCATTGACATAAAGGATTCGATTCCTGGCTAGAGGGCGCAACTTAACGGAAGTTTTCTTAAATTCGACAAAACCGGCGACAACATTACAGGGATCTGTTTTTAGTTTGTAATAAAATATTAGGGACAACATCAAAAGTTCAATGTAGAATAAAAAACTTAATTCCTTTAGTTCCCCCCACTGAAACTTAATTGATAAATATTGATCATGGCGTCAGACTACATTCACCATTGAATACAAATTGATATTCGGACAGTAGTATGGCATAGCAGTTAGTTGTCGGTGGGTGTAAAAGACTTTACAAATGCACCAATAACAAAGAAAAACAAGCTTTATTTGTACCTTTCTTTTAGGAAGTACATTTAATTTACAGAAGTAGGTAATACAATGAAATTGTCATTACACATTGTATGCATGTTTTCATGTAGTAAATGTCAACATCACCTTTCTTATTTTCTAATACAAATCCAAATTGCATCTGCATAACTTTATAGCCAGAATTTAGTCAAAACTACTAACCAACTCACGCCCCAAAAACGCAGCCATCAAACCTTCAGCCGTTCAAGAGGAAATAATGTAGGGGAATTCACGCATGCGGAAACTACTTTTCTGGGTTCTGCGCATGCTCTAGGTCTAGCCCTGAAATTGGTCTTATTTGACGCACATATTTACACTCGGACCAAACCATTTCTTGGATTTTTTTTTCTTTTTCTGTTGATATGATGATTGGATAAAAAACAACGAACTACAATTACTCCAAGATTTTTTTGACATCATTAAAAAATATAATTTTTTTAAAGTCACCCCCCAAACTAATGCAAAGAAGTTTTTTATCCGACATCGATCTTTTGACGTCGTCCCTTACTCATTCTTTATTTTCAATTTAAAAAAAAAATACTATAAAGCTCATAATAAAAAAAAATGCGCGGACAAATCACTTCACAGAAATCATATGCATACTGGACTAGATATGTGATTGGACAAGGATTTAAACAGGAAATAATGACGTAATACACACATTTATACGCGTCTTCACATTTGGTGCACTTCGTCATTGACGGGTTCAGTACAAACGCAACACTATTATGAATTATACAATCCATATGCAAATTAATATTAAGATACTCAATACAATATTATGGCTTGCAGAAGTCAAATATATTCCAGCAGCGTCATTAAAAGTGATTTTCCATCCCAGGTATTGGTGAGTGTAACACTGTAAGAAACAAATATATAAATAATAGGGATCAATTGCATAATATGGCCCTGACAATATTTGGTCGTTTTTATATGAATGAGTTCACCCCTGAGTACACAACATAGGTGACGACAGATATTTATTAAAATAATATTTTTGCTTGATAATCCATGTTCAGAACTAAATTAAATTACGATTTATCGTAAACTAAATGTTTGCTTTTGCAGATCATACAATAGTATTATTTGATGAAAAGTGAAAAACATTGATACGCATGGGCAGTGTTTTAATGTACGTACTAACAATTATTACTAGTACGTACTAATAATTATTACTGGTAAGTACTAACAATTATTACTGGTACGTACTAACAATTATTACTA